TGTCTCTGAAAGGGGGGGTGTTAAAGGGAATTTTGTTTTTCTTAATGGTTCTTTCTAATATTTCCATAATATTGAAAAAAACTGTGAGATGTTTAAAACTGATCCAACAGATTATTAAGGCCAGACTAGAGGTTTTATTTATTTATGTATTTATTTTAATATGAGAAAAAAGTCATTATGAGAATAATGTAACATAATATATATTATAAAGTCATAATATTATGATAATAAATGAGCAAAATTATCAGAATAAAGTCACAGGATTCATATGTTTGTGTTTTAACTTTGTTCTGTCCGGCTCGGAACAAAAGGAACCAGTTTTTGAGGCGGAGCGACGGTTTAGTTTCACAAAATGTTTATTTAAGACAACTGCAGTGAACTAAGACAGGAACCTCTGCAGGAGGAGACCACAGGTTAGTGACCCCGTCTGTCTGCCAGAGGATGATGATGAACATGTGAGTCACTAACCTGGTCTTAAAGGGAAGGCAGGATAATCCAATGGGTGAAGCCAAAGCCGGAGTCAAACACATGCTGACTAGTTTGAGCCAAGAGATCAAAGACGTACCGAGGGGTAATCCAGGACGGTGTCAGGAATTAATTCCAGGTTTGGCACACAGGCAGAATTTAGCAGGGGTCCGAAGACGGGTCAGGCAAACGGATCAGAACGGGAACAGGCAGGCGCAGAGGTCCAGAGGCGGAATGGGTCAGGGAATCAGAAACACTCTGGTACGCCAGAGAAACTCTCACCACTGGCTTAAATAATCTGGCACTGATGCCTGGAAGAAGGCTGGTTAAATATAGGCTGGAACAAGTGGATCAGTCATCAGCTCTAAGATCATGACATATTCTTATAATATTATGACTTTAGCACAATCAGACATACTTTAATAATCCCAGAGGGGAATTATTGTCTGATAATTGTGCAACATTATTCTCATATTATTATGACTTTATTCTGATAAAGTTGTGACTTTATTCTTGTAATATTATGACTTTATTCTTGTATTATAAATATAATAATCTCTAGCCTGGCCCTAATTCTCTGTCATAACCTGCCCAGAATTTTAATTTTAAGAATGAAAACTTTTTAGATCCTCTCTTTTGGCACTTTTCCAAAGATCCATGCTATTATTTTGAAGGAACCAACAGGAAGTTCTGTTTCTTCTTCTTCTTCGCTCCTTAAACTGCTGATGAGTTTCTTAAAGATTCCTCCAAGTTTGTGAAGTTTTTGGGAGGAACATTAAACCGAGCAGAGAGCGGAGGACAGAGGCTGGACAGGCGGACGCGCTGCTCCTGGACGTCTGGCTCCGTTTGAAGGAGGAAAGAAAAGAAGAAAAAAAGCGAAGACAAGAGAAAACGAGACAGAAGGAGGAGCCGAAGAAGAAGATGAGCTAACTCCCAGAAAAACTCCAGAAAATCCCGCTTTTCCTCCTTTTTTCTGCTGTTAATCGCTTTTATTTCCCTTTAAGCGAAGCGGGTCGCTTTCTAACCGCTGCTGCATCTTTTTGTTGGTAAGTTTAGAAAGCAGATTTCCCCTGAAAAGCACAAAGAAGCTCCAGCTTCCTGCTGTTTCAAACTTAGTAACGGTGAGGCGGTTCAATGCGGGCGCCGCGGGTTCGATTCCCGGTCAGGCAGAAAGGATTCAACAATAAATTATCTGATGGCAGAAAAAAAGGAATTTAATTAATAAAAAATATATTTATTCCTATAATGAATCACGAAGCTGCAAAAACTCAGCCGTTAATCGATAAATCTAGATCTGCAACTAACCATTATTTTACAAATCGATTCATCTATTTTTATTTTTTCAATTAATTGATTAATAATCGGATAGAAAAAGTTTCCTTAAAGAAGAATTTTAATGAAATGAAACCAGGTGAAACTAAAACTTTTCCAGTTGAGGAGTTCTGGATTATAGAGCAGATTGACAGATGAAAAAGTTTTTATTTTTATTTTAAATGCCAAATGTTTAGTTATAAATTAATTCCTGCTGTGTCACTTCTGTTTTACAGTCTCTATATGATCAATCAATTACTTAATTAGTGGAGGATCATTACAATAATTGATTCATCTGATTGTTTTAGTTCTATAGAAATCCCAAACTGCTGAAATAGAAGCAGCCCAGTCTGAATAAAGTTTATTTGATAGAAAATAAGAAAACATTGTTATAATAACCAGAGTTGTATTCTTAGGCCATCGAAAAAAAAAGATCCATCATACGGGCAGATCATCTATAAACTGGAAATAAAACAATAAAACCTGTAATTGGAATGTGCTCTAGATGATTAACTCTATTATGTGTTTTTATATTAAAGTTTCATAGATCAGATCAAACCTTTAATAAAGTCTAGAGTGGGGTTTATAGAATGAGCTATCAGTGGGAATTAATCAGGGTTTTAAGCATCAAGTCATAATTAACATTTCAGAAATATCGTACTTTCATTCTAAATTCTGATGAGGATCTCTATAATAGATACTTTTAGTCATAATGTGAATTTCTGTTATGAAAATGTTTATAGAATTCTAGATATCCAGAAATCCAATTCTTGACATCAAAGACATATTTCTTCTTGTAGAAATGCCATTATAGATATCAGCTACTTACTTAATGACTAGTTCAATCAGAATTCCAGACATCCATAAATGGGGCTAGTATTCTTCCTATCTAGAATGAACATTTCTGTAATGTTCATTTTGATGAAGAAATCCATCTCTAGATGACACATTCAGTCAAGCTAATAAATGTCAAAACGGCCTGCCATAGGCGAGCATTAACGTTGTTGAGTGCCTTAGAGGCGAGAACGTGTGAATTTAAACGCTGAACATTGTTCTTAACGTACGATCAAGTCGTCAGCTTCTTCCAGATCATCAGACTTAGATGCTTCTGAACACCAGAAACCTTCTCTAGGTGTCCTATAACCCAGTGGAGGCCACACCTGCAGACAGAGCCACACCTTCAAACGCCAGTCCAAACATTCAGCCTGACATCATCGTGGGGGCGGGGCTTCGATGGCTCCAGATGTGGTGACTGAATGTTAACCCGCTGTGTTCCAGATGGAAGGAGAAAAGGAGAAGCAGTGGGAGCAGCGGGAGGAGAAGGACAGCAACGAGGCAGAGGACGATACGAGGAGCGATGAGGAAGGCCAGGATGGAGGCTCTGAGGCGGGCAGTCCCATCATGCACTGGGAGGCTCTGAGCCTCTGCATCGCTGAACTGGAGAAGCAGGAGGAGGAGAAAAAAGCAAAGGTGAGGAGATGTTTGCTTCAACTCCTGCAACGATCCTGGACTGAAACCTTTTCATTAAGATCCATGATAAAACAAATCAGTGCTGCAGTCTGTGGTCGTTTCTCACCATGTGGTGAAACGCCATCATCCTCAGCCCCTGTGCTGTTCCAGTTCACTAGAACAGCAGACTGAGAACAAAGCCCCCGGATGTTGTTCTGGCCCCTCCCTCTTTACCCAGCATGCATCAGAGCAGACCTGTCCGTCCTCCAGACTGATAGCTGTCCCAGCATGCACTGCAGCAGCAGCTTCCAGGTTAGCGCTCACAGAGCTCAGAGTATTAAGTTAAAGGTTCTCTTTTCTGCTGCTGTTGTTCCATAAAAGTACATTTTAAGATCATTTGAGGCGAGAATATTAAACTTTAAGCTTCACTATATGGAACATTTACTGATTTAGTGCGTATTTAAAAAAAAAAAAGTTAAGATGTTGAGAGGACCGCAGCGACCAGCGGAGCTCCGAGGGTAACAGCGGCCATGGCTAACGTTAGCCCATCTGCAGCAGCCAGGGCTAACGTGACAATTATTTTTCAATTCGATTAATCTGTTAATTATTTTTTGATTAATTGATTAATAATCAGAGGCCACAGATCAGCGGATCAGGGTCCGGATCCAGACCTAAGCTGAAACAACATTTATAAATTGCTGCATGTTGCCTGGCGACAGTGTCTAACTTATAATAGAATATTTATTCTCTGAATGTTATGACTTTATTCTCATATTTTATAAACCTTCTATCCTGGCCCTAAAACTCAGAGGCACGGCTCAATGATTTTTCTATTTACAATTTTACTCAAAGACGAGAAGAAATGCAATAGATAGATCTAGTAGAGAATAGATTTAGAATAGTTAGATACATGAAAATAGATAAAAAAAAAACTATTCTTGCTTATCATCTGCTCAGCCTAATGACTCTCTGTGTGGCTGAGAATTCACAGTTTACACTCTTTTTTTCATGTTATTTATCTATATAATCATTGTTAATATTATTATTATGGAACAAACCAGCTCAATTGTAGTTCTCACAGCTGTCCAGCAGATGGAGCCATTCTAAACTATTAAACTTTGTAGAAAAGAAAAGATCATTGAACTTTATTGTCCATTAATGGAGAAATTCCCTCTCTGCATTTAACCCCTCCCCTTGGGGAGCAGTGGGCAGCCATTGTGCGCCGCCTGGGGAGCAGTGTGGGGTTAAGGGTCTTGCTCAGGGACCCAGAGTGAAGGCTGTGTGAATCAAAACTACTAGACCAACACTCACCTGTAGATCAGTTGTTGCTTATTGTGTAGAATTGGTTCACAGGTAGAAAATATCATCATTTAATGCAAATACCAGTGAGGCTCTGCATTAGAATGGACAGTGGCGCCCTCTACTGGACGATAGTAACATGACAACACAGAAAACTTCCTTTTCCAAGCAAACGGTGACATTAATCCGATAAAATGTCTATACATTAAATAAACTATTAATGAGAAAAAAAATTATTATTTTTATTATTATTTTCTTTCAGGTGGAAACCTTAGAGAACAGTAAATGTTTTTAAACTTTAAAAAAATACCTGAATGTAGAATACAATAAATAAAAATAAAAACGTTTTTGTGCGTAAACAGCATAAATCAATACATGAAATAAGAGAAATCTTAATTTTCCAACAAAAGTTTTCTTCTTTCAAGTGCATATTATCTGATTATCTTATTTTAAGAGTAAAAATAATCATTCCATTGGCAGATAATCTCATTTACCTGCTCAAATGAAGGGGAAATACACTTAATTTAAGACATTTTTATTTATTTATAGATTGTTTTTGCAGTGCAAAGATGAAAAAAGAGCAGTATCTCTTGATTTTTTTTCCACACAAAGATTTTCAATTGATAAACAGAATCTCCAATTAAATCAAATTCTCTTCTTTTCTTGTTCTTTTGCTGCTGCAGCTTCATAGATCGATGTCTGAGGAAGAGCTAATTTAGGAATAAAGGAGCGTCTCCCTCTTGGTTACCATGGAGATAGAGTTTCATCAAATAGATATGCAGACAATGTTGGGCTCATTTTCTAACCACCAACCTCTATGTTACTGTGAAAAGGATGATTATGAAATATCTCCTCAGCTTCCCCCCCTGCTGGATCTATTATTGCACCAATAATATCATCTTTAAATCTTTGCCTGAACGCTGCAGCCCCCCCCGGCACTGATCATATTACTAATCTTATTACTAATCATTCAACCGCTCGCCACCTGCTCTACATCGCCTGCCGTGTGATTGTTTCATTTCCCGTCCAAATATCTTTATGCCAGC